AGCGGTGGAAAATCATAGTAATAACAGTTCATTTTATTGGGTATGTATGATTTGTCTAGCAGTAGTCTAATTGCTTTTCTTGGAAAAAATTCTTTATCTTCTCAACAATTCTAAACTGTAAATACTATTATTAGACCAATTTTACACAGGAAACTGAGACACAGAAGAGTTAAGAAACTTGCAGCTACTAAATGATATGACTGAGACAACAGATTCTTAAATTCAGAAGGTAGAGTGGCAAGGTTTGGGGGGTTGCCATAGAGGACTGAGAGTTATCTCACTAAGGGAGGGATAGACTGGTCTTAAGATGATACCTAGATGACAAAGGCGATGATCTGCAAGGTGTTGATGAAGGCAAACAAGGTTGTTCCATGATGCCATTTGCCCTGACTGACACAGAAGAAGGTTCCTGATCAGTGCAAATTGGAAGCTTGGCACCCAAGTGAATGCTCTTTCCTGCAGCTTCTTAGGCAGCTTGTGGGGGAAGAGCATTTTCATCCAAACAAGACATGTCTGGACCTCTTTTATCCAACTGCTCTTGAGTGAGGAGAATGATCATATTTACACATTTCTGGGATGTTTTACTGTGACTCTCATTTTGACATAATAATCACTTACTATGATTAATTAAGCACTTACTACCTATTTTACACAGGAAAATAGGTTCTATGCTGAGCACTTGACATGTAATATTCCTTCAATAAACACAACTATCTTGTGATATTAAAGAAAAAAAGAATTGTGACAATAAAGAGGTGGGGAGAGAGGATAACACAGAAAATAATTTAGCAATGATAGTGAAAACTATTATATGTTTCTCCTAGCTTCTGGTTCATTCCCTCCTAGTAAGTAACCTAGCACTAACTACCAAGCTACAGCATGAAAATAAGAACAAAGAACAAATGAAATCCAATTCTAGGAACAATGATGACATCACCTATGTACTTTTATTTCAATAGAAATATACAGATAACTTGTTTCTAGGAATGTTCAAAAAGGAAAGTGCTTTTTGCCTCAAAGAATTGTATTTTTAGCTGGAAACCTTTCTCTTTAGCACAGTGGAAGAGCCCTAGTTACCTCTGCAATGAATCTCTTTGAGTCTCTGAGGCAAGGAACACATGTCCAACCTGGCCAGTATGACAAGTACAAACATCTTCCAGGTTCACTGCCATTTAGGTAAATGGTCATATGGCCTGGACCAATTTATCATTAAGTCAGTATTCATGGATTAGAATTTAGCAGTTCATCTTTTTTCACTGACAGCATTTTCCAACATCACTATTTCTTAATTTTTTTCTAGCTTTTTAAAAAGGTTTTAGGTTTACAACAAATTGAAGTCATATGGTATCACAATGAGATTTCTGGTGTTTTGACTCAAAAACTATCCATAATTATAGGTAACCAGGACCGAAGTTGCTTTTTATTAACATGAACATTTATTTTCAGTTTTTTTTCTTGCTAGAATCAAGATTCAAATAAGCATTGCAAAATCTCTGTAATGCCTTCTACTCATTGTAAGATAGTGCATAAAGTCAAAATGAAATTAATTTTATCTTAGCTTTACTACAAAGTTGGCTAATTTACATATGAATTTTTACACATGCCAAGACAAAAAAAAATCAATCATTTGAGAACAAAGAGTCTATGGCTGAGTTAGTGAAAGACTTCCTAAGTGTCTGTGTGATGGGAAAAAGGGAATAACAAATTGATTTCAGCAAAAGCAAATTTTGACGTATACACAAAACTCAGCTGCATTTTTCAGCAATGCAATAAATCATTGCCATCACTACACTTACCATATATACACACCAATAATCACAAGAAAATAAAGCAAGGTTGACAAGGACTAGTGACTGGATAGGGTCTCCGAAGAAGCTGCTGGATGGCAGTGCCATCTCACTACTCAACTAAACTGAATGACAGTTGCTTATTCAATATGATCAGTGTGTTTGCTTTTGTTTGTGCTGTCATCTGACAGAAACAACAGAAAAACTACACAGCTTTATATATAATTAAAACTTAATTGTGAGGATAATAACTTAGCTCCTAATCTAAGTATCTGAAATCATTCTACATTCTCTATAGGTAGCAATTATACTTACTGATCCTTTTTCTCATACCTGGTGACATATCTCGTGAACAATGACCATGGTGACATCCAGCAAATAAGAAATAGATGATACACTGGGATCCAGCAGTATTCTCTGTTCCACAAAAATACTTAATCCCCAGTTCTCCATAGCAGCATACGGATGCTTAGGCACAGCTAAAAGATCTAGAAATAGAATAAAACAATTCCAAAGGCTGTAACAAACATACCAGATTCTAAAGTCACATCCTAAAAAAGTCCAGAAATTCTAATTAGAAGGAATACTTGCTCTTTCTTAGTAATTTTTTTCTTCTAAATTAAACTACCTGCCATTTCTACATGACAGCAGAAATATAGGCTATCACTGTAAATGCTGGCCGTGTCCATTCATCACAGTTCATTTTCAGACCCTGTGCTGTAGGAGGCTGGAAGCATCAGCACCATTATTGATGGGGCCATCCTAATAAGTTTCAGAAAGTCAAGGAAACCAAATTCAGCAGTTTTTTTCAGTCAAAATATATAGTGCCTTCTAATGAAAATATATTCAGTTCAATGTAGTGAATATTGTACTTTTATTTTTACCTCAATATTTTTTCGAAAGAAAACATGATATATCAGCTTAAAAATACAATGTGTCATTTTTCTAATTGCTTAAATTCTAATTTATTTTTTGAGTTCTATTAAAAATAAAGACGTCTCATGCAAATATCACTTACAGAGAAAACTGTGATAGTGGCTGTAGTGGCGAAAGGACTATTGAGAGAACTCACAGGCTTTGGTTCTATTCTTGCCTCCACCATTAACTAGAGATATGACATCGGTAAATCACTTAATTTCTCGAGACCACAATTCCCTCACCTATAAAATAAGGTTATTGACCTTCATTATCTCAAAAATCCCTTCTAGCGCCAAAAATCTATGATTAGATGATTCTAAGATTTGTGCTTATTTTAAAAGGTCATAGAAGCATTATCAACTTCTGGTTAGGGTGACAATAAGTTCACGCTTTGATGTACTCCCTCTCCTCCAAACACAGAGTGATGATACATAAAATATTAAAAGGCAAAAGTAAGAAAATTTCTCCAGGCTTGAAAATAAACCTCTTTCCATAGACCAGAATTGGTACAGAAATGCAAAGTAGTAATTGCGTACGAAGCCACAGGCCTGCTGGGTTCTGGCTCCAGCAGCAGGCTGTCGCAGCTGGGAATTGGCTCCAGCAGGATGTGACACAGCCAGAGACTTAAGCCAAGCTGACTGCTTGATGCCAGGGGTCGAGGTAGGACATGCATGCTCATGAGAAGGGCTGAAAATAGCTGGTGCTCATTGCTTCCTGAGAAAGGTAGCAAGTAGCAGAGTAGTGATTCGAACCCAGGCAGCCTAGCTCAGTGCCTTGCTCTTACGCAATGACATAATCCATGCAGTCTTTGACCTAGAAGTTCCAGTTCCCAATATAAATCCTGGAGTAACTCCCTAGGATGCCAAGAAAAAACTTGGTACAAGAATGTTTACTGCAGTATTGTCTGTAAGAGTGAAAATGGAAAACTAAATGCCTTTCATCAAGATAATGAGCAAGGAAAATGTGAAATAGTTATATAAAAGAATATTATGCAGTGATTGAAATAACTGATGTTACTACCAGATTCTAACACTACGTGTGTCAATGTTGACAGAACAATCAAGGTGTAAAATGACCCTTAACCATATACTACTTAAAAACAAACAAAATAACACCATTCGTTGTAAATAAATACACATACATATATATACCCACATACTAATGGTATAGCACATATTCGAATCACACACATATTCGAATAGTAAACACCAAATTCAGAATCATAATTGCTTCAGGAAAGAAAGGAAGAGAAAGGGATGAGGGATAGTCTTTTAGGTTTCTGGACCCAATTTCAACTTGGAGGCATGGGGGTTCCCACGTCACCAACAGGCAATAGTGAGGTACCAACCAGGTGTCTGAGAATTCAACTCAATTCTGACACGATCAGTGCAAGGATAGTATCAGATTCCACGAGTTAAAGTCTCAATCCTACAAGACTCTTCCCCAACTCCCCACACACACCTTGCTACATCAGATGCCAGTCACAAAATCAGGTTACCTGTACTTCTGACTGACTGGCTATATAATTCAGAGGTCTTCATGGCCTCTCCTTGGATTTGATTAATTTGTTAGAGTAGCTCACAAGACTCAGAGAAGCATTTACCTTACTAGATCATCAGTTTATTATAAAAGGATATAAGTCAGGAACAACTAGATATAGGAGATGCATAGGGCAAGGAATGGGGAAAAGGCACAAGAGTTTCCATGCTGTCTCCAGGCCCATCACTCTCCCCAAAGCTCCAAGTGTTTTCCCACCCAAAAGTTCTCTGAACCCCGACCTTTGGGTTTTTATGGAGGCTACATTACATACTGCATGACTGATTAAATCATTGGCCATTGGCAATTAAATTCAATCTCCAGCCCCTCTCTCCTCTCAGGAGGTCAGAGGGTGGGACTGAAAGTTCCAACCCTCTAATCACAGAGTTGGCTTCCCTGGCAACCAGCCCCATCCTCAGGTGAATTCCAAAAGTAATGTCATTAACGTAAAAAACAACTTTATAGCTCTTATCACTTAGCAAATTCCAAGGGCTGGGGGAGCTGTGATCTAGAAACCAGGAAGGAAATATATTTAAGAAATTACCGACTATATATTGTTTATAAATCACAATATCACAGATAGTCACACAAGGAATTTCAAATGTGTCTTCAATATTAATTTCTAAAGCAGGAGATGGGTACATGGGCATGATTTATAATATTATTGATTCTTTTTTGTATGCCTTAAATATTTCATGAGATAATCATGCTAAGCAAAATAAGCCAGACAGAAAAAGTTGAAAATCACATGATATAACTTATATGTGAGATATAAACCTAAAAGCAACAAATGAACAGGACAAACAGAGACTCATAGACCTGGACAATGAACTAATGGTTTCCAGAGAGTAAGGGATGGGGGGAGGGGGGAGGAGAGAGGTAAATGGAGTAAAGGGGTCAAATATGTGATGACAGAAAGAAATCTAACTATGGGAGGTGAACACACAATGTAAATTATA